TCATGTTTGGTCCTTTGAAATAGGTCTTTTGGAGCATTCTGGAGCATATGGGACATAAGGAGCATGGAGGGACTTGGCACATGGAAGCAGCTCAACTGGATACGCAAAGGAAGAAGGGAGAAGCCATCTTGAAGACCAGCTCGACCGTCTACTCGACCAACCGGTCGAGTTCCTCAACTCGACCGGCCAAGCTTCAACTCGATCGAGCTGGAAGTCAAAGTCAAACCCGAAAAATGTTGCTTCCCCCTTGACTTTCCTTTGACCCTAAACCTAATCCTCTTGTATTTAAAGGCTCTAAGCCACGAAAAAACCACCAAGCTTTAGATTATTTTGTTTTAGCTTCTTTTAATTTATTGTCTTTTACTTTTTAGAGATCTAATCCCATCTTTGTGTTCTTGAAGCTCTTGCTTCTTGAATCTTAGATCCTGGATAATCTCTTTGTATTTGCACTTGCTTATTTCAATAAAAGTTGTTTAATTTCATCTCCTCTTTCTTATGATGTCTCTTTTATTGCATTTGCTTGTGTTTACATTCATGTGTAGTGAGTAGTTACCCATTAGGGTTTGAGATGGGATAGATTAGAGGTTTCATATGCTTAATCCTTCTAGCTTATGGTCTTAATCTAGATTCTCTCTCTTTTGGATAGATCTTAAGGCTACATGACCACTACCCCTGGCTTGTAAGTCCTTAGGCGACTCCCCACACGAAAGTGATGGCATTCGCTGGAAAAGATCCACTAAGAGCTCCAATATCTCTTGCTCTAGACATAGAGGTCTAAGGGGTTGGATGGATTAGTTTGGGCAATGATCCTATAGCCTCCAAGGTTTGATTCTCACTGGCTAACCCCCTGTTTCTGAGATCATTCCTTGGTTGATAGCCTCACCTTGGGAAAGGGTTGGCTAGGCATTGAGAAGCCCAATATCAAGAGAAGCCTTGATACAAGGAGTTTTAAGAGCTAGATTGATTAAGTGTAGATTCCTTTGATTGCAAAACCCTGTCTTGAACCCTAATTCTCTCTTTATCTTGTTAAAGTCGTCACCTTTAGCTTTGTTTGTCTCAACTCGTCCCTAAACTCGATCGAGCTGGTACTGTTGCCTACTCGACTCGAGCCTTGGTCGAGCTACTTACTGCTTTGTTTACTTTTATTGCACTGCTTTTCATTTTTTAGGTTGTTAGTGTTACTTCAAATCTATAACTGCTTGCTTGACTTTCTGGTTGTTTCATATTCTCATAGAGTGACAAGTTTCCCATTTTGGATTGATAACCTCTTATACTTCAATGACTATGATGGTTAAGAGGAATTGATTGATTGTGATTGCACCATACCATCATCTTTATTCACCACTGTTTGCATTCCACCTCATTTCATATATCACATCCACACACAAATCCTATCATCAATTTGGCGCCGTTGCCGATTTGGGAATATTTTTGTTGCATTTGAGTTTCAAACACACTTGGACGATCAAGCTATACCACCCCTGTTCTATTGTACTGCTGGGTTTTTGTCTCTTTTTGCAGGTGTATGCGAACTCGATCGAGTCGGTCTACTGAAGACTTGGTCGAGCTAGACTTACAACGGGTAGAAAGAGGGTTTCACAGAGGGTACAAGAGGAACCTGAGGTGCTTGTTGCTGATACAATGGATGTACCAGAGGGGAATGGAAACCCTTTGGGCAATGGACTCGGTCGAGCTAGGCAAACTCGACCGATTGGTCAAGGAGATGCTCCAAACCGCCACCAACAGAGACAAGGGATTGTTCCACCACCAGTGCAGAACCACAACTTTGAGATCAAGCTGGGAATGATCAACCTTGTCCAGAACAAGATGTTCCATGGATTGCCAAGTGAAGACCCCATTGACCACCTTGATGAGTTTGATAGGCTTTGTGATTTGACAAAGATCAATGGTGTCTCTGAAGATGCCATCAAGCTGAGACTCTTTCCTATGTCTCTAGCTGACAAAGCTCACCAATGGGAGAAGAGCTTGCCCCATGGCACAATCACCACTTGGGATGAATGCAAGAAGGCCTTTCTTGCTAAGTTTTTCTCCACCGGTCGCACAGCCAAGCTTAGAGGAGAGATATCCAGCTTCATCCAGCGAAACAATGAGACATTCGCAGAGGCTTGGGAGAGGTTCAAAGGGCTACACAAGTCAGTGCCCACACCATGGATTCAACAATGAATCACTACTCTCCACTCTTTATAGAGGATGCTTGCCTAGGTATAGGGAGATGCTAGACACAGCTAGCAATGGGAACTTCCTCAACCAGGATGTAGATGATGGCTGGCAACTTGTGGAGAACATAGCTAACTCAAATGGAAGCTATGGAGAAGAGTATGATCGCACCAACCGGAGCTCGACCCACCACTCGATCGAGTCAGACGAAAAGTTGAGAAAAGATGTTAAGGCATTGAATGAGAAGTTGGATAAGCTGATCCTAGCTCAGTCCACAATGAAGAAAGTCAACTTTGTGTCTGCTGAGGAGATGGAACCAGTCCAAGAAGGGGAGGATACACAATTTGCTGAGGTGTGCTACATGAGCAATGGGCAAGGAGGTTACAACAAAGGATACTATAACTACAAGTCCAACCCTGCCATGTCATACCGCAACACTGATGTTGCTAACCCTCAGGACCAAGTATATCCTCAACAACAAGCAGCTCGATCGAGTCAAGGTGCCACAACATGGGTATGGTCAAAAGAACAATTACCAAGGACCACAAGGCACTTTCCCTGGACAACAAATGAATATCCCACCAGGCTTCCCCACCAAACCCCAGCCTGCACCTTCACAAGAGAATGAGCTCAAGGCAATGCTAAAGCAACTACTTCAAGGGCAAGCTGATGGGGTAGTGGACACAAGCAAGAAGCTAGCTGAAATAAACTCTAAGATCGAGAACCTCAACACAAGGGTTTACTCTCTGGAGAATCATGCTTCTTCTGTTGCTGCTGCTACAAAGCAAGGACAACTACCTGGTAAAGCTATTCAGAACCCCAAGGAACAGTGCAAGGTCATCTTCACTCAAGAAGGACTTGTTGAAGAAGAGGATCAAGAAAGGGTCATTGAAGATTTTTGTTTACTGCTGAATGATGAAGAGATTGTTGCTGCTGAGGCTCCTGGAGTCCAGATTGATCAACCAGAAGTGCATGCACCTACTGTGGCCATTCACACTTCACCAGTTGAGCTCGCACAACAAGCTCGATCGGCAGCTCGATCGAGTCCAACTCTAGCTCGATCGAGTCCGACCTCTTCTGTCCGAAAGCCTGTTTTGCTTGATCCTTACCAACCGGTTGCCGCTTCCTCGTCTCGCCTACTTAGTCAAGGTCACAAGGAAGTGATTCACAAGTTCAGAAGAGATCTCAGTGGGATTGGAATTGAGTTGCCTCCTATGGATAGCATGAGTGAGGCATTTGATCAAATGCAAATGGTCAAGGATGTTCTAGCCAACAGTGATAAAGTTTCAGAGGTCCTACAAGAGTCTACTCATCAGTTCAACCTGCTTACTTCACCCACCTTCCTACCAAAGGTCAAGGATCAAGGGAAATTCACTCTCCCTTGCACACTTGGGCATCTTGAGATTGACAATGCCTTAGTGGATTCTGGAGCAAGCATCAATCTGATCTCTCTCTCCATGGCAGAGAAGCTAGGCATTGCTGGAGCCTTGCAGCGCCCTACTACTTCAATCATGTTTGGAGATGCAACTTCTAAGTCTCCTCTTGGAGTGTTCAAGAACTATCACTTGAAAATTGGAGAATGCATCATCCAAACTGATCTCACTGTGATGGAAATGGAAGAAGAGAAGGATTTGCCTCTGTTATTGGGAACCCCTTTCCTTAGTACAGTTGGCGCTTCAATAGACTTTCACAAGCAAGAAGTGATCCTTCACAAGGTGAATAGTTTGGTGTCATATCGCTTGCAGCCTAGAGGTTCAGACTTTTGTGCCACAATTGACAGTACCAATCTCAGTTCTAAGAGTCATGGAGCTACAAAGGTTGTGAAGGAAAGGGTTGACAAGGAACCAAGAGTTGGGAAGGATAAGGATGAGAGAGGACCAAGGATTGAGAAGCCACGTCTTGAGAGGGCTAGAGTTGAGAAACCACGATCTGATAGGCCAAGAGCTGAGCGACTTGTTCAAGCCCCTTGTGTGCTTGATGAAGAGAGCCTTCAAGCTTTGTTTGATGAGCCACTAGGAAGGGCTCTAAAAGAAGGGGAGGATGTAGCCTCTAAGGCAAGACCAGGGATAAAAGAAAGGATCCACCAGCTCAGGCCCCTTCATCAAGCCATCTCAGCTCACAATGACTTTGTTCCCCACCAAGTTTGAAAATGGGAAGATTGAGTACAAGATAAGGTACAAGGGGAGATCAAGGCCATTCTCTAGAGCCAAGGCCTTGGTGACTTCAGAACAGTCCAGGGACCCAACCAAGCTAAAGGAGCTTCTGTCTCAAGTCCTCACTATCACCCTTGATGGTGGGACTAGCTCAACCAATGCCTAAGAAGGTAAAGGTCAAGCTATGGGACCTTAAACAAGCTCACTTGGGAGGAAGTCCCATGTTTATCCTTGTACATACTCTATTTATGCAATTTCTATCTATCTTTATGTTTTTAACCTTTGAATAAGTTAAGTTTAGGTGTCAAAGGAGCCAGCTCGACCGATAGCTCGATCGAGCTAGAAACCAGGGCAACTCGATCGAGCTACACAACTCGACCGAGGTAAGTTTTTGAATTTCAAATTCATAACCGTTTTCTTGGTCAAGGGAGTGGGTCCCACAAGCTGATTTTGGTCCCCCACTACCCTAATTTGATCAGAGAATCCCTAGCTTCTTGTTCCCTCTTTATTTCATCTTTTAATCTCAACCACACATCTCAAACACTCTCTTCCCCATAACTCGATCGAATCCCTCTCTCTCTCCCACATCTTAAAATTTCTGAAACTCATCCTCTCTCTCTTCACCACAAGAAATTTCGAATTTCCTCTCTTCTTCTTAAGTTTTTGCGATTTCTATTGTTGCTTCTCTTGTTTCGCTTAGTTCAGTTTACTGTTCTTCAATTCATCATTCAAGCAAGGTATGAACCCTAAAACCCTATATCCTCCATCTCGATTTCCTCTTGTTTGCTTGTTTTCTCTTGATTTTTGATTGCATGTGTCCCTTGTGGACTTGTTATTGAGAATTGCTTTCATATTTCGCCTCTGCTGTATAACTTGTTAGATTTGTTTCACCTCACCTCTGTTTTGCCATTGAACTTGTTGCATGTGCTTAAAATTGAATTTGAGTTTGGTATTGGTTAAGGTTGCTATGTTCTTCTCTAATTGCTATTGTTCCATTTACTAGTTGTTCTTGGTTCAATTTGATTGATTAGCATCTTTCCAGCTCTTAATACTTGAATTAGGTTTGGTTATACTCTGTTTTCACCCAACTCGATCGAGTTTGTCACTCGAGTTTTTTGACTCGATCGAGCTAGGTGTCGAGTTGACCAAACCGATCATTACAACTCTAATTCTTTGTAATCTTTGATGCATTTCAGGTACTTTAGTGAAGAAACAGAGTAACAAGATGACAAACAGTGAGGGAAGCCATGCTTCACAAAGGGAGGTGGTTGAGGGTGAAGTCAAGCAATGCAAGAGAAGAAGGCTTAAGATGCAAGCCGATTTGGAGAAGGATGGATCAGAAAGGATGGAAGATCTGATGCAGAGGGTATGTATACTCTGAGGGAAACTGAGTGAGAGTGAGGGAGGAAAGAGAACCAAGAAGAGGAATGACCCCATAGTAGTGAGAGTGAGCAAGGGTCCAAGAGGAGAAGAATGACTCTCCGAGTGAAGAAGAAGTGAGGAGACTGAGAGTGAAGAAGAAGGAGAGTGAGATTGGGGTAAATGATCAAGGGGAAGAAGGTGATGACCAAGAGGAGATGAGAGGGAACCAAGATGAGCCAATGGAAGAGGCTGAGGAAGAGCAAGAGGAGGATGAGCTCCCCATGTACCAAGAGCACTACAATGCTCTCTTCTCCATGGACTTTGTGGAGACTAAGCACCCACACGATGACACCATGAGAGATCTTGGTATCTTTGAGGATGTGGAGTTGGTGCTCAAGAACATGCAATTGGGGAAGTTCTTCTCTCACCGCATGGAGTCTTACAAGGAGTTGACTTGTGAGTTTTTGGCGTCGATGAAGCATCACGAGTTTGATAGGCTGGCTTGGTTTATCGCTTGTAGTCCCAACCTCTCGCTGGACTCTCCTTCCAAGGCTGATAAACTTACTAGCTTCAGTTCACGACCTAGTGTTTCTAGATCCTTCTCCACACTCACTTCTGCTCTTCTGCGGCTCAAAGCATCAGCTACCACGTTGGCCTTTCCAGGGTGGTATTGAATCTTCACGTCGTAGTCCGCAATAAACTCCATCCAACGTCTCTGGCGCAGGTTGAGATCTGCTTGAGTGAACAAGTATTTAAGACTTTGGTGATCTGTTAATACCTGAACACTCTCCCCGTACAGATAAGATCTCCATATCTTCAGCGCGAAGACAACTGCCGCCATCTCCAAGTCATGCGTCGGATAGTTTTCTTCATGCTTCCTTAGCTGTCTTGAGGCATAAGCTATTACCTTCTCCTCTTGCATTAGAACGCATCCTAACCCAATCCGTGATGCATCCGTATACACCACATATGGCTTGCCAGGTTCCGGTAGAGTAAGAATGGGTGCTTTCGTCAATGCTTCTTTTAGCTCGGCGAATGCACACTCAATTTCTTCACTCCAGACGAATGGAACTCCTTTCCCGGTTAGTCTTGTCAATGGCTTCGCCATGATTGAGAAGTCCTTTACAAACTTGCGGTAGTATCCGGCCAATCCCAGAAAACTCCTTACTTCTGTTGCATTTGTGGGTTGTGGCCAGTCTTGTATAGCCGCTATCTTCTCGGGGTCGACAGAAACTCCTTGTTCTGAAACCCTGTGTCCTAGGAAACCTATCTCCCGTTTCCAGAACCGACACTTGCTGAACTTGGCGTAGAGCTTCTGACTTCTTAGTCTTTCCAAGACCTTCCGCAGATGCTCCTTGTGCTCTTCCTTGGTTTTGGAGTAAACCAATATGTCGTCGATGAAGACTATCACGAATCCATCCAGGTAGTCGTGAAACACCTCATTCATCAATCTCATGAATGCGGCCGGGGCATTAGTCAATCCGAATGGCATGACGACAAACTCGTATTGACCATACCTCGTGTTGAACGCCGTCTTGAATACGTCTGGCTCAAAGATTGAGATCTGATGATATCCGGAGGCTAAGTCGATCTTGGAAAACCAACTTGCTCCTCGCAATTGATCTAACAACTCATCTATCCTCGGGAGGGGATACTTGTCCTTGATAGTGATGTTGTTGATCCCGCGGTAGTCAATGCATAACCTCATGCTACCGTCTTTCTTCTTCACAAATAACACCGGTGCTCCCCATGGTGAGGAACTCGGTCGAATGAATCCCTTGTCCATCAAGTCTTCTAACTGTGTCTTCAACTCGGCTAGCTCTGCTGGGGCCATGCGATATGGTGCCCTTGCTATTGGTGCCGTTCCTGGTTCAAGACTGATAGTAAAGGGGTTCTTCCGGGATGGGGGCAATTCAGTTAATGCCTTGAATACATCCCCGTATTCACACACAACTGAAATGTCTTCCACCCTCAACTCCTTGTCATCTTCTTCTTCCACCACACTGATAGCAATCAGATAAGCTTCACCACACTCCAACTGCTTCTCTATTCGTAGAGCAGCTACTAACGCCACTGCCGTACTAGGACTGATTCCTTGGTACGCAATCTTCTGACGCTGAGATCCTTTGAAGGTGATTCTTCCTCTCTCACAGTCAAGCTGAGCTTTGTAGCTTGACAACCAATCCATTCCAAGGATTACGTCGAAGCGGGCTAGGGGTAGGACTAGTAGGTCAGCCGAAAACGTCTCTCCCTGCATAACAACAGGCACACCTAACACGACACTAGACGCTTTAAGGACTTGGTCTCCGGGGGTTACAACAGAAACCTCCACCAATCCTATCCTATAAGCGTCACCAAAACAAGATGCTACTTCGGGAGTCACAAAGCTATGTGTCGCTCCCGAATCGAACAAAACATGTGTCAGGATACCACCTACACATATTGTTCCTAGCACCACACCACAATACCAATATGCATACTAAATCAAGCAAGCATTCACACAAACTAATACTCTAACAATAACAAGTTAAAGTTAGTTTCCCACAATACCTGTGATGGGACCTTGGTTTGATCCCGACGGGTTTGATGGTCCTGCTTCTAAAGCATACACCTTACCCGAAGAAGTTAGACGCTTAGTCGGGGATTCTTTCATTGGTCGGGGTGGTGCGTTTTGTTTGCCGGATCCTCCTGCTGTTCCAACAACTCTGTTGGGACAACTAGTGGCGTAATGCCCAAATTCGCCACAAAGATAGCATCTGACATGCATGAGAGATTCTGTTGTCTTGAAGGTACGAGGACAATTTCTTGAGAAATGTCCCTTTTCTCCGCATGTGTAGCATCCTCGATCTCCATTTCCAGACTTCTGATTACCCTTGTGGGGTTTTCCTTGATTAGAAGATTGACCTCCCTTCTTTGACTTGGTTGTCGCGTTGAACTCCATTTTCCTTTTGTTCCACGCGGCTTTCTCCTTTTGTAGATATGTCTCTACATTCACCGCTCTCTCTATCACTTCATGAGGGTTGGTGAAAGTGACAGATTGTAGTCGACCTCCTATCTCCGGTTTTAAGCCTTGCATGAATTGTCTCACCAGGGCTTTATCATCCTCGTTACAGTATGAGGCATACCTTTGTAACCTCATAAACTCCGCTTCATAGGCTCGTACACTCTTCTCGCCTTGCTCCAATCTCAGAAATTCTTGAGTTAGACGATCCCGTGCTTCTGGTGGAAAATACTTCTGCTCAAACTCGTGTTTGAACTTCTCCCAAGTATTGACATACTGGCCTTTTTGTCGATCCACACTCTCCCACCAGTTTAGTGCGTCCTTCCGTAGATAGTAGATTCCAACGTCCTTCTTGAAGTTGATTGGACACCTAGTTGCAGCGAAATTCCTTTCGATGCTTTGTAGCCATGCGTCCGCCTGGTAAAGATCTGGCTCTCCTTCAAAGTGGTAAGTCCCCAACGTCTTCATAATGGTTACTATCTTCAGAAAATCTGGTGGTGGCGGCACTCCATTGCCGTTACCGGGTATGGCTCGATGTAGTACTTGAGATAAGAGATTATGCACCATTGATAAGGTCGGATCGGCTTGCGTTTGACCTTCTGCTACTGGCGTTGCCTCAACATCCTGTTGGGCTGGTTGGTTTGCAGATCCGGAAGGCTCAACCCGAGCATTCCTTTGCGGGTTCGATGGATGATAGTTTTGAGGTCTTGACCCATGCGTGTGAATGGAGGACGAGTAAGGCGACATAGAGTAGTCCCTTCTCTCTGAATAGTCATAGTCTAGATCGTCGGTTTGACTATCAGGTGTACTGGCATGTACTCATGCGTTCTCTCATGATCTTCATTGTCGACTCTGATGTCATGCATATCCACGTCTGACGGCTCTCTCCCGTTCATCTCCTCCGGCACCCCCTGACCCAATGATAAATCCCTCGACCACTCGTGACTCGACATCCTGAAACCAGTTAGTAGACAACTTAATATCTAATCCTAATAGGCAGAACAGACCGGATTCCTAATTTGGCTTTTGCGACACATTTTGACTCGATAAAACGGTTGCCCCGTGAGCATGACCATGAACCATGCTCTGATACCACCATTTGTAACACCCCCAGTTCGGTCTATAGACATAGACTAAACCACAGATGTCACAACTGTCGAGACTCATCAAATAGGCCGTTCCAGAACAGAGAACGAATCAAAGTCTAGATCAGCCCGTCCGGTGAATCCGACCCTCTCGACCGTAGCATAAGGCTTTGCAACCCGTACCATGGTCTTGAGTTGTGTCGGCTTGGACTAGCCTATTATCATTGAGTAACCGGGTTTAAAAGAAAACATTCTTTTATATATATCAAACTTGTAATACAAATTCTTACAAAACATTTTATACTTTATGTTGCAGCTGCGGCCTAATGCCAAAAGATAATTATACATACATTACCCGAAAACCGAGTTTTGCAAAAAGCCAACCAAACTACTCCGGTCTTCGACTGTTCTGCCTCCTGTTCACAGGATTCTACTCCGAGCTACCTGTAAGACAAATAATCATCATGAGTAACCTAATGTTACTCAGTGAGTTCAGGACCCTCTATACAAAGGTTATTCCCCAAACCCAAACCCCAAAAGAAAAAGGCGGGATCTCATCCGCCACCTGCAACACAAAGCAATTATGCAATATTGCTGCTATAGCCTTAAGACTAACCGTACCCCAATCAAACAAGAACAGGTACGATCAATCCAAGACTATAACAACACTCAAACAAGCAATCAATCAATCAAGCAATGCACACAATCAATCTATATGCAAAGCAACCCTAATCAAGTAGCGGAATACTTGACTTCTACATGCAGTGAGGCCTCTAGGTGCATAAGCCACATTCTCAGCCCACGCCTGTGAAGGTTCACGCTCATCCGGAATCACACAGAAACTAGATGAACGCCTTCACCCGGGCACTACAGTCCATCGCGGTACCCGGTTCATCCTCCCATCTATTGGCCTTACTGGCGCACCATGCCAATGTCTGGTTGGATCCCATATCGTCATATGGTACCATACTCGGCCAAGGCAGCTGACCAGGTTATCCTCCGAGTCTTCCTCCCTTCATGCACAGCCTCCACGCTGCCAATCCGGTTGGGCTCTGACGTGCGAGAATGCGCTTGACTACACCTTCCTAAACAACATGTGGTTAGACACGCCACATGTTCTCAGTACTTAGCATATGGGCCTTTACGCACCACTATGCCTCATACCCTCGGTTCTGCGGCAGAGCTTCCCTTGCCTCGGAAGAGTACCCACACGAACCTCGAAAGATCTGGCGGCTCAGCCGTCCGTGATCTTTCCACATCGGAGTCATACTCAACATATGGGCCTTACGCACCACCATGTTAGCATGCACTCGAGGTTTAGCGGCATAGCCATGCTATAACCCCACAACCGATGCATCTCTATGCACCTGCATAAACAAGATCTGACGGCATAACCTTCCCCGAAGGTTACCCATCACAATCTTACACACAAAAGAGATCTGCCAGCATAACCTTCCCCGAAGGTTACCTAACACAACCTCACAACACAAGAGATCTGACGGCATAACTTCTCTCTCTAGAAGATTACCCGTCACAACCTCACAGAGATTTCTGCAGCATAACTCTCCACAATTTTTACTAAACATTATTGTTTAGAGAGTTATACCACATACTTATGAAACGATAGAAGGAAATAAACTATAACCTAGCTACCGGAACTCACAACTTTTAGACGACCCGGCTGACCCCGACCCTAGCCTCCCCGCTCTAGCCCGATGCTGATCCGCCTCTGGATCTTCTTCTCTTCTCCTCTTTCTTCTTCTTTCTCTTCTCCTCCACGCCTTCTCACTTTCTCTTTCTAGTTTCTCTCTCTAGATTTCAGTTTGTGGTGTGGTTTGGAAATGAAGACCAAGGGGGCCTTTATATAGGTTTTTCGGAAGCTCGAGGTGGCGTCTGGTGGCTTCAGAACGCGACACCTTGCTTCCGCATGCAACCAATGGCATTGCTGCACGCCTGGAGCAGCTTCTTCCATCCCAATCCACTTGAGTCAAATGGCACCTTCCCATTGGTCCATTCCCCAAGCTGTTGGGTAGCTGAACGTGATTGGTTCGTTGAGGATGAGCATCTCCTCCTTGATCCTATCTTCCTGGATCAAGTGGCTCCTTCCCATTGGCTCATTGTTGATCAGATCAACAAGCTGCTGAGTGTCTAGACCTGATTCGTCCAACACATTCCTGTCTTCTCATGAGCAGCTGAGTGCTCACACCTGATTGGTGCAACACATTTTCGTCCCATATGAGCAGCTGAGTGCCCATACTTGATTGGTTAGCTTGAACTTATCCTTGATAAGCAGCTGGTGTCGCCATTCCATTGGCCTTGTGCTTCCTTCTACGTTTCCTCTTGCAGAAGGTTTCGTACGTTTCCCTGTACGGAGGGTTTCGTACGTTTCCTTGACTGGAGGGTTTCGTCCCGTTATGCTTGAGAATTAAAATCTCTTATTTTAATCCTTCCGTCATTTCCATGTTTCTGAGCTTTCACATAGCTGCTTGGAAATGTGCGGGAAACCTCTATCCCGGGACATTTGCGTTTCTCGCGCTTGTCATGGGATGGATCCTCCGTGTAGTGGGATGGTCGTTTCTGGCCGTCCGTCCCGTCTATGTCTTGACCGTGCTTAGCTAGCATGAGAGATATTACAGCGCATGTGTCATTACTCCGGCGACAAGTGGCGGCGCTTCCTTTACATGCGGAGGAGGACGCCCTGACCCGCTGACACCTCGTCCAGGTCAGTCTCCTGCTCCTCTCTACAGCCGCCACATGCCCCAGACACACTCCACAAATTGCTCATACGTTGACACCTCACAAGAGTAGATTCATGTAATTTTGCATGAACTCTTCTCGTAGTGACAAGTGTCCCACTCACACTTTCTTCTTCTCTCATTGTGACACATGTCCTCTTTTTACATGCACAAATGAGTCACTCACTCCAATCTCTCACTCCATGTTCCACTCAACTCTCGGCCGCGTTCCGTACGTTCACGTACCGGCCGCGCGTACCGCGCAAGCATCCCACGGCCGAACATTGCCGTCCGTGGCCGATCTTACGTTCCCAAACGTTCCTCCATCTCTTCTCATGACCATTTTATTGTCTAGTCATGTCTTGGCCACCTGCCCGTCACGCCGATCCGCGCATCCTGTACGTCCGTACAGCGATCCGTCCGGCTGACCATCTCTCGGCCGTAAACACTCTTTTCTTCATATCTTGAGTTTTACTCGGCCAAATCCACTTCTGCTTCGACCGTTCTTCATCTTTTAGAATTGTCTACTCATTCCGGAAGAAAAATCCGTGATTTCTCTTACTCCTCTTCAGGGTTACTACATTCTCCCCCACTTATTAGAATTCGTCCTCGAATTCCTTTAAGTATGAGAAGGTCCTCCTTGCTCCAACTGAGCCTCTCCTTCAAAGAACTCTGGGTAGTTAGAACGAAATCGTTCCTCATCTTCCCAAGTCACCACCATACGGTTCTGTTTTCCCTAATACACTTGTATTTGAGGAATCCTCCGATTCTTCAACTCTCTAACACGTCTCAAACCAATCTTGAGAGGTCCCTCCGGGTAAGTTAGGTTTCTCCTAAGCTCTTCCGGCCTCTCCCGTTCAATGGCATTTGGATCCGGTACATGTTTCCTTAGCAAAGAAACATGAAACACAGGATGCAAATTCATGTCTGGAGGTAGCTCCAATCGATAAGCCACTACTCCAACTCGTCCAATGATTCGGTATGGCCCTATGTAGCGCACAGCTAACTTGCCAACCTTGCCGAATCGATCTCTCCCCTTTTGAGCCGACACCTTGAGATACACCATATCTCCGGCCTCAAAATTCACTTCACGCCTTCCTTGATCAGCATACTTCTTCTGCCGATCCTGAGCCTTCCTCATGTTAGTTCGAATAACTTGGAGTTTCTCCATAGTCTCATCGATTATCTGTGGCCCAAAAACTCTCCGCTCTCCAACCTCCGTCCAGCACAAGGGCGTTCGGCATGGTCTCCCATATAGTGCTTCATATGGAGACATGCCGATGCTTGTGTGGTAACTGTTGTTGTAGGAAAACTCTATCAATGGTAGATAGTCTTCCCAAACTCCAGCCCAATCCAATATGCATAACCTCAGCATATCTTCTATCGTTCGGATGGTCCGCTCCGTTTGTCCATCCGTCTCCGGGTGAAAGGCTGTACTAAGGTTTAGTACGGTCCCTAACGCCCCTTGTAACGCCCTCCAAAACTTGGCCGTAAACCTTGGGTCGCGGTCAGACACTATGTCGGCCGGCACCCCATGTAGCCTCACTATCTGATTAATATAGAGCTCCGCCAAAGTCTCTACTTTATCAGAATCTCGAATAGCGAGTAAGTGAGCTACCTTCGTCAGTCGATCCACAATGACCCATATGGAATTGTTCATCCGCCCTCTTGCGACTGGCAATCCGGTGATTAGATCCATCGCCACGGAATCCCATTTCCATTCTGGTACAGGCAGACTCTGAAGTAGTCCTGCTGGTACAAGATGTTCCGCCTTGACTTGTTGACACGCTTGGCAGTGCGATATCCATTTCGCTACCGCTCTCTTCATACCCGGCCAATGATAGTACCTTCGTACATCCTTGTACATTTTTGTGCTCCCGGGATGAATACTAAGAACTGATTGATGTGCAATCCTTAATATCTCATCTCGTAGCCCATCTCCTTCAGGAACTGAGATCCTTCCATGGACAAGTAATGTCCCGTCTTCCGCCAATTGATACTCAGTCGTGTTCTCCTCGTCTGAATCCTCAATCTTCTCCACAATCTTACGGATCTTGTCATCCCTAAGTTGTGCTTCACGAATCCTTTGGATCAAACTTGATTGATTCACAGCTTGAAACCCCAAAGGTTCACTCGACTCTCCTTCCAAGGCTGAAAGCCTTATCATCTGAAACTCATTATTAAGAGCTTCCAACTCTTTCTCTCTACACACCTCCAGCTTTCTTCGACTTAAAGCATCCGCCACCACATTGGCTTTCCCAGGATGGTATTGGATCTTCAATCGTAGTCCGCGATGAACTCCATCCACCTTCTTTGCCGTAGATTCAAATCTCCTTGAGTGAACAAGTATTTAAGACTTTGATGGTCTGTAAACACTTGCACGCTCTCTCCATAAAGATATGATCTCCATATCCTTAACGCAAACACCACAGCCGCCATCTCCAAATCATGAGTTGGATAGTTCTCCTCATGCTTTCTCAGTTGTCTGATGATAGGCCAACACCTTGCCTTCTTGCATCAAAACACATCCCAGTCCAATCCTGGATGCATCCGCGTACACATCATAAGGCTTACCCGGCTCTGGTAATGTCAATACCGGTGCCGTAGTCAATGCCTCCTTAAGCTTCACAAAAGCTTTTTCCACGTCGTCACTCCACACAAAGGGAACTCCTTTCCCAGTAAGCTTTGTCATCGGTTTTGCTATGGACGAAAATCCACTCACAAACTTCCGATAATAGCCGGCTAACCCAAGAAAGCTCCGCACCTCCGTCACATTGGTAGGTCAAGGCCAATCTCGGATTACCTCTATCTTCTCCGGATCTGCTGATACACCTTGTTCAGAGACCCTGTGCCCTAGGAAACCTATCTCTCGTCTCCAAAAGCGGCACTTACTAAACTTCGCATACAACTTCTGATCTCTCAACCTCTCCAAGACCTTCTTTAGGTGCTCCTCATGCTCCTCTTTAGTCCGAGAGTAGATCAGAATATCATCAATGAAGATGATCACGAAACTATCCAAGTAATCGTGAAACACCTCATTTATCAACCGCATAAACGCCGCCGGTGCGTTAGTTAACCCAAACGGCATTACCACAAACTCGTACTGTCCGTACCGAGTATTGAACGCCGTCTTCATCACATCTCTATTCTCAATAGGTATCTGATGATACCCTGAAGCCAAGTCGATCTTAGAGAACCAACTTGCTCCTCTCAACTGATCCAACAATTCATCGATTCTAGGAAGTGGGTACTTATCCTTGATCGTGATATTGTTGATCCCTCTATAGTCGATGCAAAGCCTCATGCTTCCATCTTTCTTCTTCACAAACAGCACTGGGCGCTCCCCATGGAGAAGAACTTGGTCGTACAAATCCTTTCCCCAACAAATCCTCCAACTGCGCCTTCAACTCGGCCAGTTCCGCCGGAGCCATCCGGTAAGGAGTCTTTGCTATTGGAGACGCCCCGGTATCAAGTTTATCGTGAACGGATTACTCCGGGGTGGAGGTAACTCCGTCAACGACTTGAACACGTCCACAAACTCAGAGACAACCGGTATCTCCTCTACCTTTGTCTCTTTCTCCACTTCAGCCTCAACCACGTTGATCGCAACTAAGTAGACACATCCTTCCACTAGTTGTTGCTGCACTCTCAACGCCGATACCACAGAGACACCCGTACTAGGCCGTATCCCTTGGTATACCACCACCGAATCCAGGTCTCCTCTCAAAGTCACCCTCCCTCTACTACAATCCAAATTGGCTCTATTTCTAGACAGCCAATCCATGCCTAAGATTACCTCGTAACCTATCATAGGCACCACAAACAGGTTTACCCTAAAGATTCTCCCCACAATCTCTAAGGGTACACCTACCACCAAGCTCGAAGATCTAAGGATTTGGTTTCCTGGGGTTACCACAGAAACACTTACCTCCTCAACAGGATAGATCTCTCGAAACCTCATCACCACCTCGGGAGTCACAAAACTATGTGATGCTCCCGAGTCAAACAAGACATGCGTGGGGTTACCACCAACATGTAATGTTCCTACCACACCACCACAAGAATCAATCATCAATATGCACATTTATCATATGCAAATTATGATCATTCACACACACACGCACACAAGAAAAGAATGCAATGCAATCTAATCTATCAATCAACACACATCACAGGCAAGCAATCTAACTTCACACACAAGGAAAGTTAGAACCCAAACAAACCTGTGATAGGACCTCTAGACGATTCTGGAGGTTTACCAACTTCAGCGTCCAAAGCAAACACTCTACCCGCAGTGGCTTGACGCTTAATCGGGGGTTCTTTTGCAGATCGGGTCGCGGCCGGCTGATTCTCTTCCACTCTCGACACTTCTATCCCTCTCAAGGGACAGCTATGTGCATAATGTCCCTTTTCACCACATGTGAAACAAGAGACCCAGTCCGGAACCCTTCCGGCTCTCCTACTCTCCGTACAATCTCTCGCAATGTGGC